CGGTGCTGGGCTCGGGGAGGCCTCGGGGGGCCCCGCGGGGCCTGGCTGGTGCGCGCGGCCGGGCTGCAGCGCTGGGTCTGCTTCCAGGAGGGACAGGAGAACGTGGAGATCCTCCCCTCGGGAGAGCGGCAGCAGGCCAACCAGAAGCGAATCACCACCCCCTACATGACCAAATACGAGCGAGCCAGAGTCCTGGGCACTCGTGCCCTCCAGATCGCGTGAGTATTCCATTCTGTATCCCGGGAGTGGCCACAGCTTCCCTTCACAGTGAAAGCTGCTTTCCTCCTTGCTTAAAAACTGGTGGATCTCATGTAATCCCTTACGTCAGTCCTGCACTTGGAGATCACCATCTTGGTTGGCACTGAAGTGCAGGATCATGGAGCTCTTAGTTGCATGTGAAGTCTCTGTATCCCTTCCTGGCCGAGACTGTGGTACTTGTGCCTAGATGGGGGGAATTCAGCAGCTGCAATTACCCTTTCTAAGTCACAGACTAGATGAGTGTCAGGGCTGGGAGGGATGTGACAAGCTGATCCTGGTTTCTCCCTTTCATAAGGGAGCCAGTGTGGGCTGGAAAGCTCAGAACTGGTTTGCAAAAGGCACTGTTGGAGGGAGGGAGGGAGGGGTGCTTCAGAGTGTCTTCAGTTGATGCCACAGGGGTGTAGGAATTGGGAATGGAGTAACCAACCTGAAGTCTGATTTAAGTGCAGTTGTGTTGTGTAAGTATTTGGAATAGTGTGGCCTCATTTATAATAGGTAATATAATTTAAATCCTATTTTATGTGCTCTTAAGGCTGGCTGCTCTCAACTTCATCCATGTACCTGACTAGTTTGTTTTAATAATACATATCAAAATGTTTTAGACTTTTTGAAAAAGTGCCTTATGATCGAGATAATGAGGCAGTGGTGAGGTTTGTCTGAAAGCACATCTCTGAGCTTCATCTTGGTTGTACCCACCTTCAAAATCACACCTCCCCTCGACATCATTTAGAGGCTTGCAGGTGGTGGTCGCCTCTTTGCACAGCCCTCCCTCTGTGAAGCTGTTTTGTGCGTGCTCTGCTGGTGGAAAGCCAGAAGAAAGGGGGAGATGAGATGGGCTGGTGCCAGGCCTTTAATCCAAAACGCTCCGGTGCCTCCTTCTGCTTCCCCTGCATCTTCTGCCGTCGGTGCAGAGCCAGGCCAGCAGCAGCCCCTAGTGGCTTCAGCTGGGCATGACATGAATTCTCTGCTGCCACTGTCCAATGGGCAGATGCCATCACCCGTGTCTGCTCTGCTGCTACAACCCTCTGCAAAATGCTTATCTTTTTTCTTCCTAGAGGTAGAGGTCATCATAAATCCAGTCCCTGGCTTTCCTCCAAGCAAAGCCTGGAAGGTGTGAGCAGATTGGAGCATAAGAGATGTTCTGGGGTTGTAGGACGCATGCTCAGTTACAGGATTTCACCCTCTATTGGATTGCTTTTAGCACCACTTTTCTCACATTAAGTGCAGCAGAGGGTGACAAGAAGGGTGTAGATCTGACCTGCTCTTGTGCACCAGCTGGTCAGCAGAGACTGAGGAATGGGAGCAAGAGGAACATCTGAGTAAAAGCTCAGTCCCTTAACCACTTGGGTGGGAATTTTCTTCCCGATATGCATATCAGATTAAGCCAGGTGACGTCCTACCCTCCTGCTTCACTGGCTGCTCTCCAGGTGATGTAGGTTGGCATGTGCTCAGCTGTCCCTCTTCCCTCTCGCGTGTTCTCAAACGGTTGCTGTTCTGTCCCAGGATGTGTGCCCCTGTGATGGTGGAGTTGGAAGGAGAGACAGACCCCTTGCTGATTGCCATGAAAGAGCTCAAGTAAGTCCAGACCTTTGATGATGAATGTGTTGATTTCCATGAAGCCAGCAGGCCTTTCCTTGTTACAGCATTTAGCAGCTCCAAGACAACCTTGTCTTCCCTTGATAACAGTGAGCACTACAGTTGCCCTCCCCTTTTCAACCTGGGACTTCCCTGCAGCTGCTCCCTCCCATCCTAGTTGCTCATACAAAGCACTGTTGATGAGTGCTCTGACCTATTTAACCTCGAAGTCCAAGTGTTCTTTATTTCTGTGCTGAGAAGCCAAGGTCCTCATCTTTCTGGAATCAGTTTAATTCCCTGAGTGGAATTGATTGGAAGCAGCAATCTGAATAGACCTGTGTTCAAATGAAGTGCTAGCAGAAAACGAGTTAAGGGTCAGGCTGGTGCTGTGGAGACCCTATTAAGAATGTTTCTTTCCCACATCCTTCCACATTTGGCCTGTTGTAGTTGCAGGGAGACATGTCCCCTGCTTACAAAAAGAGAAACCCTCTCTGACTCTGGCAGAAGCAGTGTCTGTATGACCACTTACAGCCCCACCTTCCCACAGCAGAGCTCCCTGCTCCGTCACAGTTTGCCTGCATGCTGGGTGAGCTGGGTCACATGCAGGTGTCCTTCAAGCAGAAGTAACTCCGTTACTGATTAAGTCTCTGTTCTTGAACTGAATTTTCCCTCTGCTCCCCCAGTTTCTCAGTGTGTTGCAGTTGCTTTTGCAGACTTAACAGCTATTACAGCTCCCTTTACCGTTGCCAGAAGATCCTTAGGTCACATTCCTGTCAGATCTCCAAGCTCAGTCTGAGTTGCCTCTGGTCTCTGTCTGAGTGGGAGCCCTAGAAAGTAAGTCAGGGTGTGACAAAGTGTAGTGGCATCCTGTTCTGAGCCAAAATTCAGTTGTAATTCTTGGCATGAGGGAGCTACTTTGCTACAGGAAAAGCAACGGCCCTGAAAGTGGTTGTTAAAGAAGTTGTGTAACTTTTCAGGTCTAACACAGTTGAAACCTGATGCCCTGGTTAGATTCCAGACTGATTACATTCTGCTGACTTAAATCTGCTTCCATTAAGTTGAATTTTGTTCAGCATTTTCTTGCTTCCTAATTGGAAGCAGTGCTAGTAGATGCTGTGCTCCACCCCAGCTGTACCAGGATTTGGTCCCTGGGTAGTCCCTAATTCATGTGTCCTTAAAACGTAACTGATGCTCTTGGGGTGCGAAACAATTGTCAGTTTTCCATAAGGTTTCTCAAAATTCTGCCACTTTTCTAGTGTCCTGTGGGAAAAAAATTCTTCCATCAAACAAAAAGTGTATTTGTTCTTCAAGCCCCTTGATTATTTTTTTTTTCCCTCTATCCATATTAGATGCTTGGTGTTGTCTCACCTGTTGTCTCAGTGGGTTCAGATCCCAGGGCTCAGTTCCTGCAGTAGCAACAGAGGGCTGACCTTCTGTCAGTCGTTGGTTGCAAGTCTCAGGGTGCTTTGAACCTACAAGAGAGAGAGAAGGTTGCTGGGACTTCTCTCTACTGCGTATTATCAAATAGCTGGTGCTACACAGATCTCTCGGTTAAACCTGAAGCCGCTAAGCACCGCAATTCTCCTTGCCTGCTGCAATGGTAGAGTGAAGGCTCTGGCACTTCTGCTCACCTCTCTGTCCTCTCTTCAGAGCACGCAAGATCCCCATAATCATCCGTCGTTACCTGCCAGACGGGAGCTATGAAGACTGGGGTGTGGATGAGTTAATTATCACAGACTGATCAGCCTCCGGCCATTCTTTTGGTTCTTTGCCTCTCCAGAGATGTTTCTATTTTTGTTTATATTTGTGTAAATAAATTATAAATCTCCCCGTTTTAAGCTAAATGTGGGTTTTGTTTGTTTTCTCCTTCCTCTTTCTCTTTCATCTCAGTCTTAATGTGTGAAAGAGAAGACTTTTTTCTTTCTACCAGCTTGGCCATTATTCTTTCTGTCATGGGCCGTATTGGTACGATGAGGGAGCCAACTACCCTGCCTTCTTTGCAGCTTTTTTCCACCTGCAGAGGCCATGCCTTTTAGCTAGGCTGAAGACTGCAGTAACTACTTCCTCCTCCAGCACCACTCCCCTCCAGTTGTAACACTGATAGCCAGTTAAACTCCTGCTGTACAGAAATGCTCTAGCAGGTACTTCGGAAAGACACCAGCCCTCCACCCTGGCCCTTCTTAAAGTGGGAGTGCTGAGACATCCCCATTGCTTCCCCCGTAGACAGTTAGGCCTTTGTGCCCTGAGCAGGTTGCTGTGGAAACCTCCAATTTTGGGCTGGCTGCAGGGCTTCTCAGGAGTATCGTAGAGCAGCTCTCATCAAATCACCTATTGTTTTCCTGCTCCTGCTGCTTATCAGGGGTGGGGATTGCCTTTCAGTGGCACTTCCCCAGCCGGAAGCGCAGTTGCCACTCACAGTCCCACCAGCTCAGCAGTCTTAGGTTGTTGCTTCCTCCTTGTACAGCTGTTCCCTGACACTGGTGGAACTGGTGGTCCTGTGTGTGCTCTCCACCCATCAGCTGTATGTATTCCCATGGATCTTACAGTGGTGCAACAGCAGTTAAACCCCAGAGTTCCTTTAATCTGTAGTGTGATGAAAGATTAGTAATGTCTCCTTAAGGCACCTGCGCTCTTACCTCTGTTGTGCAGGGAGCAGAAGAATTGTAGCCCCGTTCTCAAATCAGGAAGAGTGGGATAGATGCATTGTAATCTGCAAGGGCTTCCAGCCAGCTACTACCTGGCTTTCATTTCTTGATCTTCTGTGTGTGCTCCAAGATTCCTACTCTGCACGAGAAAGATCTGATCTCTTGGGTAAAACACACTGAGTCTTTCTCAATTATCCTGTTAAAAAAGTGCCCTTGGGATTTATGTTTTTGTAAAGAGAAGAGGGAAGGCAAACAAGGTTTCAGCTTTACATTGATTTTTTTTCTCCTCACATTGCTCTGGGAGGACTCTTCCTAGCTAGTTCATGTTAAGGCTATGCCTATAAAACGTGTTCTCCATGCTGGATGTATAGTTGGTGCCTGTGGATGAGCATCCATGACCCAAAGGGAGTTTTCATCCATCTGCCTGGGAACTCAGCTCATGTAGCCAGCCATGAATGTCATTCTCTTCCTGCTCCTTGTAAAAGCACCAGTCCATCCTTTTTCTTTTGGCATGCACAGGAGGGGCTGGTTTTGGAGGTGAGAATGCAAGAACTGAATGTGTCCCTGGGCAAAATGACAGGTCAAAGGAAACATGGAGATGCTGCAGGTGTGGGGAGCGGGTTGACTGTGAGAAATACAAGTCCTTCCTGGTCCAGGCCATCCTTACCAAGAAAAGGTTAATTTGCAGCACTGTGGCCTTCAGCCTTCTCCCCCCACCCTCCATGGAATCCTTTAATCACGTTGGTGCGGTGAAATTTCAGCCCTGAAATGGTGCCTTTGTGCAATCGTTTTGGCGTCCGCCATGGCGCGGGGGTCGTTTTCTTGTCCTTTTTTTTTTTTTTAATTCCAAATGGCTTCTTTGTTCCCTGCCCGCCTCCCCTCCCTAGCCCTGCATCTGTATCAGATACGATTAAAGGGATAGGGAAGGATGCCGGGCCAGCTCCTGCTAGGCTGCCGGAGGAGCAGTTAACCCCTTTGTTACCAGGGACATTCTCAGTCCTGTATTAGTTATGAGGACCCTCCTAGGTGAGAGGAGGCATCCCCTTCAACTAGAGAACACTTGGGGCAGAGCCCACTCGCTTTCCTAATTTGCTTTTTGGAGAGCTGGAGAAGGGTACTTGTGTGTGATTAAGAGCTTTTTTTCCCACTCTGTTGTTCATCCACACCATGTCCCTTCTCTCTCCCACCCTTGTGATCAGCTCTCCTACCCCTATGGCTTCCCTTTTTCCTCACAGGTGCTCCTGACCTGCTCAGCAGGACCGTAGTTCCCTTCTGGGCTCTTCCCACAGCCTATAATTTAGGGCAGGGATTTCCCCTCCTCTCCAGGGAATGGCCACAGTCATATTTTGCATGGAGCTCTTTAGCTGGCATTGCCATTGTTAGATCCATTGAGCCACCTGCTGCTGGTGCTCTTGGCCCTATACAGGGCTTTATCCAAAGACTGCTGTGAGGTTTAAAAAAGCTTTGAACGTGTTCCACAGTTCCTAGACATTCTGCTTACTTGACTTACCTGTGAGCTGCTTAGTGAACATGAACTCACTGGATCATTCACACTGAAACCTTTGGAATCAATTTGTAACTGTGAAGTGTCTGTGTTAGTTGCAATCCTACTTTGCTACCATTGGCCTTGAGAGATGTTCTTAAGCAGACCCGTATCTGCTGTACATTTTCTTTCCAAACATCTTCAGATAGTTTCCCAGGACCTAACTACACCCAGGATGTCTTCTTCAGCAAGTAAGAAGGTATATACACCTATTATTGGATATGGTCTCTATGTGTGAGCATGTGTCTGTATTTAGGTTCTTGCTTGTGCAAGGCACGAGGCCGAGGGGTTGAGTTTCTGCAGGGAATGGTTGCTTCCAAAATACACGTTTGTGTATGTGGGGAAGGGTTTTTTTGAAGGTATATAACCTGCCACCTGGTGATGAGGAGCTAAGATGAGAAATCCCACACTCCTATGCTGGAGACCATTAACAATCACACTAAGAAATTCTTGGGTAAAGCACATGCAAAACACTGCTCTTCTTAATTGCATGTGCTGAGTCCTAGCTGAAGACCAGAAATCAGTGTTACCGCATTTCTCACTGAAGAAATGACTGGAGCTTAGGTGTCAAGAGAAGATGAGTCTCCATGAGGAAGTCTGGCAAGCCAGTCAGAGTTCTGCCTGTGTCCCCTCAATCACAGGCAGAGGAAGGCTGTGCACAGGATCTGTGTGGTGGTGGTGTGACCCATCATACACTTGCTGGGGGAAAAAACAGAGACTTTCAGGAAAGAAGTCAAAAAAACAAGACACATGAAAATGAAACTTTTAAGTTTATTATTCCATATGTTTAATGCAGAGTTAATGGTGCTAGGACAGCATAGAAATTGGGGAGGGGGAGGTGGGGGAGGAACGTGCTACTTGTATAAATAAGAGGACAGGGCTGGAAGAGGTTACATGTGTACAGGGAGCAAACATTCTACATGATCTTTTCAGACACCACGAGGAGAAGTCATCCATAGCTAAGGGAGGTGGGAAGGGCATCTGACAGTCATATCAGCAGAGGGAAACAGCGGCACCAATCACAGTCCACGTTCAGTCAAAGTATTTTATCTTTCTCGACTGCAATATCCATTGGAAGGTCCCACAACATGTCTCTGCGATCAGTTGCCAGGAGTCATCTTTTCCTGAAGCAACTTCTGTGCCAGTTCACTCCCTGGCATGACAAACCACCCCAGTCCTGGAGGTGACAAGGGAGAAGTAAGCAGACTGTCCTCAGGTGTTGGGCTGAACAAAGGAGGCTGCGTGACTGTGAAAGCTGGTTGTTTCTGGTTTGAAACCCAAAGGGGAAAATAAATTCTTTTGCATCTGAATAGGCTTATTTTCTTTACACTCACCCAAGATTGGGTGTGTATCTACCTTGCTTAAAGCTGCCGAAGTATCTTTCCATCTTCAGCATAGGTAGAAGGGAGGTGTAGACTGACTGGAAGACGATGAAAAAACAAGCAGGGTACCGCACCCCATCAGCCTGAGTTTGGAGTGGAGGTTCAAAGAGAGCATTGGAATCAACTCAGGGTGTTGGCAAGTGCAGTTAGTTTCCTTGGTGCCTCTTCATTCAGGCAGGCACAGTCAGACATGGAAAAGCAAGGACCACGTTTGCTCAGAGGTTTTTTGGGATACTGAAGAGAATAGAAAGGACTGAGGTGGCAGAAATGCCAGACATAAATGAACAATATAGAGTAATTATAAGAAAGGAGGATTCACCCACAGCACCTTAATGATTCATTGGTCCTTCCCCACCTCTCCTGCACCTCCATACATGAACACGCATGTGTGCACAGGCTGTGCTACGGGAAGCACTAAGGCCAACAATGTGGTTCCTACGCGTTATTCAGGCAAGCCTTAAAATCT